GGCATGGCTCACCATCTTTGAAAGATATTCGGAAGGGTTGCACTTCTCGACATATTTTTCAAGATTTTTGGTGGTGAAGTCTCTTGCATCCTCCAAGATGCTCTCGCCTTCTACCAAGAAGTATGAAGCTTCATACAGGAACAGCATTCCCTTCAAATCATCGTGAAGCCATGTCCTAAAGTTTCCTTGTTCGTCCTTGAATTGATTGAAAACCTCTACAAGTGGAGAGCACAAACTTTTAACACAATTAGTCATGAGAACGCATATAACCATCAATATCTACACTGCGTAAGAGACTTACCTTGAGGTACCTTATATCCATGCTGCCTTAGGAGTCGAAATTCGAGAGCAGTAGCATACAAGTCATGTACTGTCTTTGTATTCTCTATATGATTTTTATAGAATAAACTCTTCAACGTGCTCTTTATTTCATCAACAAAATGGTAGGATAACCCAAGTCTTTGCAAGGCATCGATTAGCTCAAGTTGATCCAAGGATTTCGATGCGTTCGCCAGCATCATCCTTATGTTTGCCTTCAACTTTTCGCTTCGCGCTGTATATGGCTCTCCCTAAACAACATCAAATTCAAGTTCTCAACTCAAGTTGTTTGAACAATAACATAACATGACATTATAATAGCTAGCAACTATACCTTATATTTACTAGTCAGTGACTGAACAAAATCATACTCCCATATGGAAGTTTGATAATTTGCCGACCGCCAAACAATTTGACCAGCAGGTTCGGTGGCAACCATGCATCGAACTTTGGTAGGTAGAGAGCGGTAATTCTTGCTTGATACAGGTCCTACTAAGGCGCGACGTGGAGATGCTAATGCTGGGGGAGTATAAAATGATGAAGCGAAGTGGGTAAGAGCCATTGCTAAGTGTTTTGGACTTCTCGGAATTCCAACGACTGGCCTATATTTATAGATAGATTGATTAGCTTTACCAAATTTGAAGTCAGTCCCGCCCATGTCAAAGGGCATCCACAAGATTGGATGACCAGATATTCTGGAGTTGCAACAAATTAAGGACTATATAAATATATGGTCATCATGAATGAAACTATCTGTATCTTTCTCTTTGTATGTATATACAAGTATTGTCATGATTAAATCATGGAACTAAAAAAAATCCCGACATACTCACGAAAAAAAATCTCACATCCTCCACATCCTCCTAAATTCTTGTGCTGCTTGTTGTGGGGTGCGCTCGATGCGACATCTTCTAGCGATGGTTGAAGCTTTTTATTGTGTCTCCTGTGTGAGGTGTTGTGTGTTGGAAAGAGTTTTTGGATTTAATCATAAAATTATAATTAATATTTAAGAGTCGCCACCTAGTATTATGGTTACTAAGAGCCTATGGTCTGCGAGAGTCTCGGTAAAGAACTAGTTGTATAAGAGGAATACGCATCACCCCCAGTGCACCCTACGAAAGGTAAGCTACATTGTTGTTTGATTTTTTTTTTAATGAGGGGTTTCTATTCGTTGGTCTTCTCTAAGGTTCAAGATCGATATTTCTTCATGAGAAAGTTTCAACCTAATCGGGTTAAACTGTAACCATTCTAAAGTTTGAATTTTAGCATTGTATTTTTACACCTTATATTTTTAATACTTGAGGGTATACTTTATCATAAATTGATTATGATATCCATTTTGCATTTTAAAATGTGAAAAAGATGCAATTTTTGTTTTTTATGAAGATATGCTTGGAAAAATTTTAGAATTTAGCTGTATGCATAAAAATAATTTTTTTTTGAAAATATTTAGGAGAAAACTAGATATTTTAATACTGGATTTGTCTCTTACAGTGTAAGTATACAACCCAATATTAAGCAAAATTGTTAGAAAAACATTTGAGAAAATCACAAATATTTTAAATGCCCCTTGAAGTTTTTTTGAATTTTTTTGTTTTTTTAAAATATAATAATAATATATAATATATTATTATATTAATATATTACAAAATATGTGGACTGGGCTAGCCTAGATAGCTAGGCCAAGCTTAGTCTAGAAAAAAGAGGGGTCGATATCGACCCAAAATGATAGGGTCTATCTCGGCCCAACAAATTCTTCTTCTTCTTTTTAATTTTAGGGATGGGCTAGACCCGACTCAGCTAACTAGGCTAGGCTAAGACAAGTCCAACCCAAAGTAACTTAGTCACTGGCACGATCCAGTGACTAAATTCTACTACTAGTGCAACGTGAATTATAATTCACATTCCTCTGTTTGCATACAGTGGTAACAGAGAAGGGAGGAAGAAGAAGAAAAGAAGTGGGAGGCTTACCTAGCGTTGAGGGAGTTGGCGTCCTGACTGGTGGCACATGGTGCAATTGGAGGTGGTGAGGCAGACGGCTGGCTCTGGTTGCAGTTGGAAGAAGAAGTAGAGGCTTGCAGAGGAGAGGGGAAGCTCGCGGTTGGAAGTGTTGGAGTGGCTAAGGAGAGAGTTCCTGCCGTAGCTTCCATTAGGAAGGACAAAAGCTTTTGGACAAGGTGGTTGCTACTATTGGGGTTGTGGTGGCAGAGAAGAAAAGTTTTGTAGAGGAGAGAGAGAAGCGATGCAACCACCATATGAGATGTTTAGATGGCTTCTTGTGGTGGAGATGATGGTGGGAAGGCCAGTGATGAGGGTGGTGGAGGCTGAAGGCCATGGCAAAGAGAGAAAGATGAGAAAGGGAGAGTTGCAGGAAAATTGAGCAGAGAAGACTGGTTTTCGACCAACTTTGTGGTTGATTTTCACCTCTTCCAGAGCATGAAATTCACTCCTATTTATAGGGGATTGAAGAGGGTAATCTTGTCTACATAGAAAAATTTTTTGAACCCTTGATTCAGTTGGGAAGGATCCCAACCGTTGGTTCAAAGTATGCATCGTGAGTTGTCAAATCTACAAAAAAGGCTGCCTGAGTTGGCCTATTTAGGCTAGTGCCAGCACCGTCTCTTTGCCATTTAGACCGAAATGTTCAGTTGGGGTTGTAGAGAAATTGCAGGGAATTATTTACATGTACATTAAGTTAGATGTGATGGAGAAATGAAGCATTATATGCAGCTAAAAAGTAGCTACCTAGGTAGTTGATTAGTACTTAAAAGTGTATTTTTATCATGGTTTTATATCATCATTTTGCACTTAAAGTATCAATAACTCCTTAACTAAAGCATGTTTTATAATAATATATCTAATAATATAAGATACCTTTAATTTGTGGTAAATGTTCATTTTAAATGCAAGCCTATCACATAAAT